TGGTTATTCCAGCTTGCAGGACTGGCCTAGGGTAATTTTTAGGGGGGTTTTAATTATATTTTAAAATTCGACAAATATTTAAATATTCCTTTTAATTAATTTTAAATTTGTATTGTTTTGTATGTATTTTAAATAGATTGTCAGCCGCCCTGAGTCCTACGGGAGAAGGGCGGGATATAAATCCAAAAAAAAAAAAAAAAAAAAAAAAAAAAATGTTTAATGTTTAATGGGAGCTGCTCAGAGCTGGTTGCAAATGGGTAGCTATATACATGTTTTAAATAAGTAAATATGTAAATCACCTCAGCCAAACGCAGGTTCTCAGAATTCACTCGCACACTATGGGATACGGAGTCTAGCACTTCCATGGCAGTCGAATTCTCCTTGCTGATGCTCACTAAGAACTATTGGGAGAGAGCACATATTAGGCACATCAGTATATGCAGCCATGCTAGCGGTTTCCCCAGTTCCACTGCCCACACCTTATTTTTTAAAGTGGTAATGTTGTAACATCCACAACCCTTAGTCCGTTTCTTCGCTGCCATTCAAATCACCTCTGACAGCTACCATTCCAAGAACCAAAGAGTCTTTTTCGTATGAAATGCCATTACGGTACTCCAGGCCTACTGAAGGCAAAGTTGAGTGGCGTTTATAGCACGACACAGCTCATTCTTGCTTTCTGTGTTATTGTGGGGAATACAGCACAGATGGAAGGAGACACGATATGGCAGTGGTGGCGAACTTATGGCACACGTGCCGTTGCCCCAGCCTTGCCTCCCCCCGCGACCCCCTCCTCTCCAGCAGCCCCCCTGAAGGAGAGTCGCCCTCGAGCGTGGCCCACACGGAGCAACGCAGCCAAGGACATGGCAGTCAGGCAGCGTAGACAAGACTCTGCTCTCACACCCCATCATGCAGTTCATGCTGCAGGGCGCGGGCAGAGGGTGTGGCTGCCATAGCGCTGCTGGGCTGCCTGGGTGATCTGCAGCGGGCCCTGGAGGCGGTGAGTGGTCCTGTGGGCAGGCGGGGCGGGGGATGGGGGGGCAGAGCAGGGGCGGGACCGTTTTTTGGGCACTCGGTCTCTAAAAGGTTCGCCATCACTGCGATATGGGAAGAACTTGGGAAGACACACTGCATCTTAGCCTTTCTGGTGGCCTTCTTTGTCTCTTCTTGCCTGCTACACCTACTTTCATCCCTTAGCAGTGACAGTAACAGGTAGCTAGGAATTTGGTTTTCCATTCTAGTGAGACTTCATGAGCTACACTGGCCATAATCATGGTGCCAACGGCAGACTTTTCCTGAAGTTTCTCTTCACCAACACATCCTTCCCCTAAATTGCTGTTTTGGGATGATTTCTTTGCAGTTACCACAGCTCATGTTGGTTTTCTGGGTGCTTGCTGAGGACACAACTTTCTCCACAACTGGTATGGTGCCTGCGTTTGCTGTAGCTGTGTTCACAAAACCCACTGCCTGTTTATTATTTCCCTTATATCTTGAAGCTTCTTCCTCAATTGTTTTTATTATAATTTATTAATTTTTACAAAACCTAATCTAAGACAATACAAGAGTGAATAAAAAAGGGGGTGGGAGAAAAAAAATAGAAAGGATATTCATAAGCATCTTACCTTTGGGGCAAAATTTAAAAATAATTATAATTTATAGTTACCTATTAAAACATGTCAATTCAGTTTAAGCCAGTATAAAAAGTAGGTTAATATACAATAACTAATAGCTAGCTAGTATTACTCAGCTATAAACTGAGATTCAAACGTAACAATAATTTCTGCCTAATCTGGAAAATATGGCAAGTTTTAATAAAGCATTAAAAATTGAGAATTCAAATTTTATTGGGGGAAAAAAACAAACGTTGACTGTGATGCCAAGTCACCTATAAGATTGTAATCCAAAAACAGTTTCCACAATTTATTAAATTCTTTATCAGATTTTTGTATATATAAAATTTGTTATGACATAATTTTGCCATATTCATAATTAGCTATTTCTTACTGGAAGACTTTGTTCATAATTTCCAGTGAGAAACATAAAGAATCCCATTACTATGTTCAAATCTAGTTTTATTTGCAGGAACATAAGGTTTAATAATATTTTATAAGAAAATAGTAGGATGGAAAGAGAAAGCCATCTTGAAAATTGTGTTTCCTTCTTTCCAATACAAATTGTTTTCCAATATTTTGGGGCTTCACAATATGAAAAAATGATCTTATTTGATTATTTAACTACCTAATTTCACAATCAATACCCAGGTAATACACCACTGAAAGAACATCTTGCACCAATTTCCCTCCAAGTGTAAGATTAATCATAAATGTGACATTTTTTTCAATCGCTAGTATTCTCATTTTGCATTTCAATTCTCTAGGGACGGAGACATGCCAAAGTCAGCTGTTTTTATGTTGACTTCTGGCTTAATTTTTAAGAGGTTAGATGTTTAATTAGGTATGACAGAAACAGATCTGGGAGGAAGATCCCTGCATTAAAGCAGCTCTTTTTTTCTTACTGTTTTTTTTAAATAAAAAGTTTTATTGGTTTTTTCCATTTTTTTCCAGCTTAGGACACAACGTGGTGGTCAGGGTGTCAAATCATTCAAAGACAAAATCATATAAATATAGTTCAAATTAATTATCAAAAATTTCCTCTCTGTTTCCTAAATATAATATTGCTTATTAAAATTAATACAGTTTTAGGTAAAGTTCAATCAAACAAAAATCATCAATCACATGTGATTATAATAATCTATATCCTGTTTTTAAGCTTTACTAATTACAGTTGTCATACTCCAATTACGTTTTAGTAAATATATAGTTGGGATTTCAGGTATCCTTAATAATAGATCATTCATTGAGACTGATTTTTTCCCTATCGCAAATAGCTCTTCCTCTCTCTCTCTATTACAACACAGTTATCATATTTAAAATAATAATATAAGTCCAACAGATACCGTTCTATTTTTAAAAATATATTCTATCATTTCATCAATCTACATCTATGGAAAATATTTTTAAGCCCTTGATAAAGTTTACACCTTCAAGTACTTATCAACTGTAATATCAGGAAATTCCCATCCTTCATTCATAATTAAATCAGACAAACTTTCTTACTGTTAATTCCCCTGCCACCGCACCCTTGCTCTCTAAGTCACGGAGACATATTTAGCTTAAATGTACAGAACTACCACTACTGAGGGGGTGCAATGGCTCAGCGCCTAAGACAGTGGTGGCGAACCTATGGCACGGGTGCCAGAGGCGGCACTCAGAGCCCTCTCTGTGGGCACCCGTGCCATCACCCCAGTCCTAGGCCTTCAGCTGGGTTTTATAAAACTTTTTCGCTTTAGGCCTCTGCTGCCGTGTGCAAAAAAAAAAGTTCAATCAATCAGCCAATTTCAACCTTGAGGGGAAAAAAAAAGTTCTTGCAAAGTTGGAACTGATTGATTGAATTTTTTAGTCCCACCCAGTCTGCCATTACCACCGCAGCCATGCCCACTCAATGGGCCACATCCAGCCAATGGGCCACACCCACCCGGCACCCGACGATGCATAAGTGGGTTTTGGGTTGCAGTTTGGGCACTCTGTCTCTAAAAGGTTTGCCATCACTGGCCTAAGATGTTGAGCTTGTCAGTTGGAAAGCTCTCAGCCTGGGTTCAAGACCTGAGCGCCATGTGATGGGGTGAGCTCCCGTTACTTGGCCCAGTTCCTGCCCATCTAGCAGTTTGAAAGCATGCAAATGCGAGTAGATAAATAGGTATTATTTCTGTGGGAAGGGAACAGTGTTCAATGCACGTATAGTCACACTGGACACATGAGCATGGAAGCGTCTTCGGACAATGCTGGCTCCTTTGGTTAGGAAACGGAGCTGAGCACCGCCTCCTAGAATCGGACACGACAATCCTTTACATTTACCATGATTAAATCTCGTTCTTTACCACTACTAAATCTGGTTGGATTTTTCTATTGAAAAAACTCCCTGGACGTTTCAGAATTAAAGGATACCCTGAGGATCAACGCTAATCCAATTTGAAGGATAAAAGATAAAAAGCTATTCCTGCTATATATATTTTTCTCTCTCACCTTAACAGGTTTATTGTGGGGTTCCTTTGCAAAGTAGTAGACCGTCAGCACTTTCTGCTTCTGGGGCAGGGGGACTGGCAAATACAGGAAGGGATCAAAAGTGATGGATACCTGCGGTAGAAAAAAAACCCTGAGCAATAAAAGCCTTTACTGGGCATAAAATAATGTGCATCGGGAGCACTAGCAAATCTCATAGAAACAATTATTCTGGGCTTAAAGGACACTATTCAGAAGAAGGAAATAATAATAATAATAATAATAATAATAATAATAATAATAATAATAATAATAATAATAATAATAATAATAATAATAATAATAATAATAATAATAATAATAATAATAATAATAATAATAATAATAATAATAATAATAATAATA